ATTTTACAATCATAAGTTACTTCATATAAATACAAATCAGCTTTCACATCAATACATGGTTCATTATGACATCGCAAGGTTTACAGATTTAATCATGTCCATGGAAGGTTTTGTAGGCCTACTTGTTTTGTTGGAGTCCAGCTTTCTTCTTCTTTTTAGTTCTGTTTTGATTTGTTTAAAAAATAGTGTTGGAGTTCCAAATCTTATTGTTCACATTGCACATTATTGTCCACCATAATTCTTTACTATTGTCATCCATGTGAGTATGGAAGACACTGTGAGAGACCGTCTTGGGATTTATACATACACTACCGGTCAAAAGTTTTAGAACACCACCTACTCATTCAAGGGGTTTTTCTTTATTTGTACTATTTTCTACATTGTAGAATAATAGTGAAGACATCAAAACTATGAAATAACACATATGGAATCATATAGTAACCAAAAAAGTGTTAAACAAATCAAAATATATTTTATATTTGAGATTCTTCCTTGATGACAGCTTTGCACACTCTTGGCATTCTCTCACCCAGCTTCACCTGGAATGCTTTTCCAACAGTCTTGAAGGAGTTCCCACATATGCTGAGCACTTGTTGGCTGCTTTTCCTTCTCTCTGCCGTCCGACTCATCCCAAACCATCTCAATTTGGTTGAGGTCGGGGGATTGTGGAGGCCAGGTCATCTGATGCAGCACTCCATCACTCTCCTTCTTGGTACAATAGCCCTTACACAGCCTGGAGGTGTGTTGGGTCATTGTCCTGTTGAAAAACAAATGATAGTCCCACTAAGCCAAAACAGATGGAATGGCGTATCGCTGCAGAATGCTGTCGTAGCCATGCTGGTTAAGTGTGCCTTCAATTCTAAATAAACCACAGACAGTGTCACCAGCAAAGCACCCCCACACCATAACACCTCCTCCTCCATGCTTTACGGTGGGAAATACACATGCAGAGATCATCCATTCACCCACACTGCGTCTCACAAAGACATGGCGGTTGGAACCAAAAATCTCCAATTTGGACTCCAGACCAAATAACACATTTCCACCGGTCTTATGTCCATTGCTCGTGTTTCTTGGCCCAAGCAAGTCTCTTCTTATTATTGGTGTCCTTTAGTAGTGGTTCACACAGTCTCCTCTGAACAGTTGATGTTGAGATGTGTCTGTTACTTGAACTCTGTGAAGCATTTATTTGGGCTGCAATTTCTGAGGCTGCTAATTCTAATGATCTTATCCTCTGCAGCAGAGGTAACTCTGGGTCTTCCATTCCTTTGGCGGTCCTCATGAGAGCCAGTTGCATCATAGCGCTTTATGGTTTTTGCGACTGCACTTGAAGAAATATTCAAAGTTCTTGAAATGTTCCTTATTGACTGACCTTAATGTCTTAAAGTAATGATGGACTGTCGTTTCTCTTTGCTTATTTGAGCTGTTCTTGCCATAATATGGACTTGGTCTTTTACCAAATAGGGCTATATTCTGTATACCACCCCTACCTTGTCACAACACAACTGATTGGCTCAAACGCATTAAGAAGGAAATAAATTCCACAAATTAACTTTTAAGAAGGCACACCTGTTAATTGAAATGCATTCCAGGTGACTACCTCATGAAGCTGGTTGAAAGAATGCCAAGAGTGTGCAAAGCTGTCATCAAGGCAAAGGGTGGCTATTTGAAGAATCTCAAATATAAAAATATTTGGATTTGTTTAACACTTTTTTGGTTACTACATGATTCCATGTGATATTTCATAGTTTTGATGTCTTCACTATTATTCTACAATGTAAAAAATAGTACAAATAAAGAAAAAACGTTGAATGAGTAGGTGTTCTAAATCTTTTGACCGGTAGTGTACATCAAAATCAATCCTTCTTATCAGATCCCATATTTATTTAGTTCTGTAGCAGTTCAATAAAAGTCCTACTAGGTGAGGCAGGATATCTGGTAGGAGGATTCTCCATCTGTGTTTTCTGCGTGGTGATCTGTGTTGTCCCTCCTCCTCACACTGCTCCGTTTCTCTCCTCAGGTGTTTTATGGGAACTCGGACCGCTCCTCCTCGGTTCAGAACCTCCTGCGTCCTCCCATGGTGACTCGCTACATCCGTCTACTCCCTCTGGGCTGGCACACACGTATCGCCATCCGCATGGAGCTGCTGCTCTGCATGAGCAAGTGTACCTGATCCTCCTGTCTGTCTGTCACGCTCAGCAGGGTACAACATTGTGGAACGTTCAGACAGAAATGTAATGAATAGAACAGACATGATTCTACATGACAGACAAATCATATCGGTCCTACACCATATATTTCTATGTGAAGGTCCTGTAATGATACATCATCCTGAACAGGCCCAAGGAGAGCCCTGATTGTTCCCCTGCCTGTTCCCTATGCCAAAGTGGAATCTACTGCCCTCCTTTCCCTCCCCAAAACACTTAAGTAATACCTCTGTCCCAGTGATTGGTTTTATGTGTGAAAATGTCCATTCTGTTTTCAGATCAGGTGCAAAGTGTTACAAGTTGTTTTGTTTTGTTTTTACACTGAAAAAGGAGCCAGTTGTTTCCACTTGGGCGAGGAAGGTGGGGATAAATACATGCATGTGAACCAACCAACCAACCCAGAGAAGTTGGTGATGATTATGTGATGAGGAAAGCTCAGAGAAAGTGAAGAATTCCAGTCCTGTGGTTAACTGGATTTAGTGTACTGTACTGTGTGTGGATTCTGATGTAGTTTGTGACAGTGATGTAGAGAGTGCAGTGGAGGTATCGTTTGTTGCTTGTTTTATTGTATTCATTTAAAGTTGACCAAAACCAGTTCCTGAAATAAAGATAAACTCTTGTACTCTTTTGTTTTGGAGTCATTGAATAATATTCATGTGTAATCCTCTTATGATATCCAGTTTAAAAGACATCTAAAGGAATCTCCACTTGCGATGTGTGAAAACCTTTTCATGATCCAAAAAAACAATGAATGCCAGTTAACAGGATATATGCACGTCGTTTTAATTCTTATTTACAGTCAGAGACCAAATAAATAAATAGATAAATAATGCGGTTTGTTTATGTGTGATGTCATGCAAATAAAATCGTGTGGGTCAATTTTAAACAAACAACAACCGGAAGTGATTTATAATTTAGGATCTGGATAATCTCGAACTCAGGATAATCTCGAGTTGATTTAGTTTTTCCGGCATTTAATCCTGTAACAGCGTGAATGATTGTTCACTTCAAACCGCCACGAAACGCCAGTTATAAATTATATAACAATGAGTTTACATAAAATGCAGATGTAGGCTATTTGAGTTAGACATTAGTGGGATAGCCTGGTGGTCCCCAATCGAGCTAAAGAGCACAAACAGATCTGGGACCACCAGGCTAAATTAGAGGTGATCTTAAACCTAAAAGAATGAAATCACCCTGTAAAGATTTCACAATGTTTGCTGCAACTGGCCCATGGAGTCTTTTCGCCACAGAACCCCTGGAAGACATTCAGTTCTATTGGACACTAGCTATGGTTATGACAAGGTCAAGGACGCGACACAGACAACAAGAGAAAAGTGTACCTGAAGTTCAATACTGAAACGGATGTTTCCAAAGTGAAAGAGCATGAATTCAAACTGGACGTTACTATTACAGGTGACAGCCCAAAGCTGTTCAATGAAAATATTACTGTCAACTGTTAGTGTAAAACGAAATGTTACTGTCAACTGTTAGTGTAAAATGAAATGTTCAATTCTCTGTGAAATGTTGGCAGTGAACTGGCTAGAGAACCTTTTCCTGTATGGAAACTATCTTTATCATTGAGTGGGCAGATTAAAGCAGGTACATTTACACCCTGATAGAAACAATAAAAAGACAGGTGAATGAAAACCAGAACCACAAATGGGTAAATCCTGGAAGACCTTCTCAGAGCATTCATTCACAGAACCTCAACTTTCTACAGCTGTCAGGTAAACAATCATCATCATCACCATCATCATCATCCTACCATCACAACCATCACCACAATCTTCATCATCAACACCACCACTACCACCACACCACTATCATCAGCTTCATCACCACCACCACCATCATCATCATTACCATCACCACCACCACCATCATCATCATTACCATCACCACCACCACCATCATCATCATTACCATCACCATCATCATCATCATTACCATCATCATCATCATCATCATCATCATCATCACCACCATCATCATCATTCAAAGCTTACATTGACACAATCTTTCTGGACGTTATTGCTGACACCTGGTTGAAACCTCATTCTGTTGCCAGGCAGCAACCCCTGCCTTGATTATGTAGAAGGACAGTTTCATGAGAAGACATGGTGTGCATCACAAATAACACCCTATTCCCTATTTAGTACACTACTTTTAACTAGGGTCCATAGGGATCTAGTCAAAAGTAGTGCACTATAAAGGGAATAGGGTGCCATTTGGGATGAAGACATGGCTCACTGTTGTGCAAATATATGAAGGAGAACAATCCAATGGATCACCTAATACAAACAGTGAATGTTGATATTATTAACACATTTCCATGGAACATCAAATGTCCTGTTGGTGCAGATTGTTTGGCTGGGAACTGGACTGTAGTGAACGGCTGGGGCTTTCGGGGGGAGAGGCCATCTTTCTGAGGGGCAGCCTGGGGAAAAGTCAGAGTGGTGTGTTCACTACCACCAGCTGGTGGGGCTGTAGGGCAGGAGGTGTGTGTGTGTGTTCTTGCGCACGGTGTGCATGTGTGTGTGTGTGTATTTGCTTTGTCCTTGATCTTCACACTATGTACTGTAGATTAATGACTAACCAGGGCTAAAGATATCCATGACATTCATTGTGCCAATATCAGAAAGTTAGGCCTACGTGTTTTACTCTTTAAAGCCAACAGCACAAACTAGTATGACCCTGCCGGTCATCTATGAACGTTTGAACATCTTGGAGAAAAATATGGCCTTAATGGCCATGTACTGTTATAATCTCCACCTGGCACAGCCAGAAGGGGACTGGCCACCCCTCAGAGCCTGGTTCTTCGCTAGGTTTCTTCCTAGGTTTCTGCCTTTCTAGGGAGTTTTTCCTAGCCACGTGCTTCTACATCTGCATTGCTTGCTGTTTGGTGTTTTAGGCTGGGTTTCTGTATAGCACTTTGTGACATCTGCTGATGTAAAAATGGCTTTAGAAATACATTTGATTGATTGATATCTCTGGTATGGATATCTCTGGTATGGCTATTTCTGGTATGGTGTGTCCATACGTGCGTTTGTGTGTGTATCCTTCATCAGGAGACAGCAGGACATCTCAACAGGAGTCTCAACATGTGGCCTGAGTCTCTAATAACTAGATCAGTGGGTGTGACTGTCCCCTTACTGTACGGCAGAATGACCCTTTACAACAAAGAGTACCTTACAGTACATTCCCTATGAAGACAACATTATGACATCCTGTGGACAGGAGTTTACAACTGACATTCTGATTCTAGAATCAGGAGATTGAATACACTTGAAGGGCATGGAACATGAATTTGTCTTAGCCTGGTCCCAGATCTGTTTGTGCTATCTGACCAATGACCACAGGAGTTGGGACCAGGCTACACTTGTTTGTCAAGATGATGTGGCAAATTATTACCTTTAAAAACTGCACAACCCTGATCCATATAGGTGAGTTTTTATCTCGTTATTTTATCATACATTATAATATGATATAATTTGTCTTAAGATGAATATTTGTCCATCATACATATATCTCCATAACTTAGTGTCAAACCAGATAAAATAAATAAATTAAAGAGACTAAGTAAATAGACAGGACAAACATAGGCTATACTGTCACAACAATAAATATAAATTCTGAAAAACCTCCACAATTAAATATTCTTGATGAAATATTGAATTATTATTACATATAGTTAGAATCTCATAATCTTTTTTACATGTCTTTTTAAAGCTCTTGCAATATTACACAATTAATCATTCTACAATACATTAATCTCCATATAGGCCTACATATCGTTAAATAAAGTAATTTAATTTAAATCAAATAAAAAGGAATTTCATGAATAATATAATATAATATCAATACAAATTCTATCAAATGTTTGAAGCTTCAAAAAAGTTAAGACTTTCCGGCCAGTCAGTCCACCTGTCAGTTCAGTAATATAGTAGTAAACTTAGAGAGATACAGTGGAACCGTTCTATCTCTAAGGTCCTAGGTGCTGTAGTAGCGTCCGGCGGCCAGCAGGCGGCAGTAGCGAGCCCAGAGTCCTATTCATTAGGGCACACAATTGAAAACGTTATAAAACGCTTCGCAACACATCACAAAAATAAACATTTCTTACTGGACAGTAGTCCATTTATCCCTCCCTGTTTCAGTCTGTTTTCTTCCGTTTGGTGCCTAATCAACATGAGCCTTGAGGGAAGAGAGACGTCTCCTCCATAGACATATTTCTTCCTAGAATGGACATCCCCATTCAAGTCAATGGGTGGGTGATAGAATTCTAATTCCATGCTCTCCTCACAGGGCTGTCTCTTTCAGGTCGTTGAGGTTTGGCATCCGTGACCTTGACGGCCTGGTAAAGGTGGGCCCGTTGGCGACCATTTGGTCGGGGTACGGCTGAGCCCCCTCTGCCCTGGCGAGGGCCACTGCGTGCCAGTTGGACTCAATCTGCCCCTGTAACTGCCCCGGGAGGGGGTAACTCTGCTTCCGGTGGCTCTTAGACTGACCAGAGCTGGAGCTGCTGCTGCTAGGGTGTCCCTGGTGGGACCTACTGTCACCCCTCCCGTCGCTGAAGACTCCCCCTTTAGAGGAGGAGGCGGGGGGGTTGGGGTTGGGGAGGTGCTGGAATCGCAGGTCGGAAGGAGGAGGGGGTTGGCTGGAAGAGGAGGAGGGGGAGAGGTGCAGGAGTCTGCGTAGGGACTTCAGGGGTTGGTTCTGAGGGGGAGGCATAGAAAACAATCACCACAAGCTTGTGAACACTAAGCGGGTACACCAAGGTGGAAAGGAACAATTCACTTTAGAATTCAGGAAGTCAATTGAAATTGAAAGAGTAAACATAAATGAACTGTGATTGTGAATCCACCTGTTTCTCCTGAGGCCAGTCACTGACTCTCTCTCTCTGTCTCCCTCTCTCCCTCTCTCTCTCTCTCTCTCTGTCGCGGTCTCGGCTCTGCTCGCGCTCACGATCCCTATCCCGGGAGCGTTCACGGTTCTTCCGCCGGCTGCCGTGGTGCGAGGAGGACGAGGAGGAGGACTTGGACCCCTTCTGGATAAACAAGTGGTCCTGCCCATCACCAGGAACCTACCATTTCACAACAGGAAAGGGGGGTGGACCGGTTAACAATGACACAGTCAAAAACGATAGACTCAGGACATTTCAATAAACCTGTACACCCCAAAACATCCACTAGACCTCCAGAGGGACCAAGGCTATGAAATCTACTCTGACTGCATTTGGGGTCTAGTGGACACTTTCGGAGTGCATTGTGGGTAACACAACGTGCAAATATGATGAGCAGGCATCACAGGCACATCTCTCGACGGCTGTGGGTCCTCCATGCACCCCTCTCCTCCCCTCCTCCTCCCAATTCCCTCTCCTCCTCCTCGACCCTACTGCACCAGACGCTTCACATGCTGTTAATATCATGGAGCAGAGCGGACGGTGACATCACAGTGATGACATCACATGGAATGAACCCAGGAACCAACCAGGACACCAGCTCTCAAACCCAGGAAGTAGTGACTGTGAGACCCAACTGGTAGTGCATTTCTTGCATGACCATGGTCCAGTGACTCCTGTCCATCTCTGGCATCTCTGTCAGAGAAATACTGACACAGCTCTGTTTTGTCTCATTTTAATGACTGTACTATAGCTTATGGTTAAAACTCTATTGGCAACTGAGGGGCTGTCTATCAAAACGTCAGCCCATTGAGCAGAACGTATGCAAACAGAAATACTGTTGGTTAACCAGTCACTACCATGTAGACGGTAGAACAGCTGAGACTGAGATGGCTGGCCTTGTCTTGCATCACTAGGACCAGATGGTCTCCTCTGCTGTAGAGGACAGATTTAGAGAGGAAGCTGAGGCCCTGATGGGCTGGGCTGGGGGGCTTAGATACTATCCATGGTGCCAGAGGGAGGACAGAGGGAGGGAGGGGGAGAGAGAGAGAGAGAGCGAGAGAGAGAGAGAGAGAGCGAGAGAGAGAGAGAGAGAGAGAGAGAGAGAGAGAGAGAGAGAGAGAGAGAGAGAGAGAGAGAGAGAGAGAGAGAGAGAGAGAAAGAAGAGAGAGATAGAGATCCGGTGTGGGGACATTTGCGAGGAGAAACAGCCCTGAGGACGTAGCCTACTTAACTGTAGCTCCTGATCCCAGACCAGTTTAGAGTAGGCTGACCTACATTCAATCTGCTTACACCAGTGTGTTGTAGATCTGATTATAGACCAGTACTACAGTTCACAGATCTGGAAGCTGGTGTGGTGGTATGAACTCAAAATGGCCGCCGATGTTCATGTCAACAATAACAGATGAATTAATGAATCCACTGTAGTTGACGCACAGAGTACTGTTACTGCATGTATGTGTGACAGGGTAGGAACTGGGAACCATAGTTTTGGTCAGTGTTTCCCGTGCTTCCTAGCCTGTCACATATGTAAAATAGCATGCGTCATGATAGAGGGTTATAGTTTACTGGTGAGGTAGAGCAGGGTGCAGTAGACTGATGTTGTACCATGGGCGATGGCACTACAGGAAGAACTTTCTGAGAGGAGTTATGCTTTAAACTATTCTTTGAGTTAAACAGAGGGAAAAGGCATTTCTTGATGCTGGGGTTCCTTCCATCGTCGACTCTGTCTGTCTTACAGGATCACGG